CCCTCCCCTCTAGCTGTCCCAGATGTTTCTAAAGAATGTCTAGTCTTGTCATAAGTGAACTGTGTTCCTCCCCGTAGATTTAATTTCAGAGGATCGGCCGTAGGTGATAGGATGATAAGGTAAAAGGCCGCTCTCTCACTTCCCGTCCATTATAACTTGCACCTGTTTTAACACCTCGATGAGGTTTGAATGTGGAGGTTCTGGCTGATTCTGTCTGACCCTCTAAAGTCACGGTTTATAGACTGTGTGCTGAGGAGCTCGACCCGGCAGCTTGCGCGTGTCGGGTACTAACCGCACCTCTGTGGAGCACTGAAGTACGTGGCTGCGTACGGAGCCGGTTTGCACAGCCCCATGCACCACTAGGTTGGGGGGGGGGGGGTTGTGAATTAATTGCATTGAATATTTCAGTTATGCCTGTGTGCCCTTGTCATAAGTGGTGGGGGAAACTGGGAATGGGCAGCAGCATCCATACTCTTGGATTTGCGACCCCCAGATGAGATTCCCATAATGCAATGCTTGCTGTGTTTGTGACCTGGCATGTGTTTGGAATGGATCTTTGCTAAATTCTGAATGTGAAGCTTGACGTTTTGAATTTTCTTTTTTTTTTGTTTTCCTCCTGAATATCATCAGCTAATGTGGTTAGATTTGGTAAAATATTAGTTTGTCGGGGTTGCCCTGCCCAGTTCTGTCAGATACGGCATTTTAAGAATATAAAACGCTGGTCCTAGCAGATGAAGTGATGCTATAATGAAACAATCTATTATTTAAAGATGCATAACCTAATGTAAATGTACCTTTAATTTATAATATATTAATCTTTAAATGTGAATTGTCTGACTCTACTTAGTGGGTCCATTTCATACCCTTTAAGCTCATTGCAAAGTACTTAATTTAAAAATCATGAGCCTTATTGGAAATATTTGAAGGTAATTTTAAGAGATGTAAATGGAGACAGAGCACTGAAACTTTCTCAATTGCTTTGGCACATTTCATGAAACATAACATTCTCGTGACTGAGCATTTCTCAAATCAGTTTATGCATATAGCACAACAGTATGATTAAACTGCGAAAGGCCGTAAGTATGTCCCTGTCTGCACCCAAAACTAACTCATATCTCAGAAGTAAATGATTCCATCAATGACATAGTCACTGCCACAAAAAGTATGTACATCGTTGTTTCAGCCATGAGTCAAAATGCTTAGATATATTGTCAGAATGCCAGTGCAGGTAATGCTTCTGGTCCCTACAATTCTAATACAATGATAATCATTTTTTTCGTTCTCACTCACTGACTGATCATTTTTCTGAAGCAAACTGATTCTTTGGGTGGTTTTCCACTGCCACGAAGAACCGAACTCTTTTCCATTGTAATGTATCTTAGCCATACGCAGACCATAACCTAGCTGACGTGGTCCTGTTTAATAGCAGGACTGAAAGCATGACCTAATCAAGCTGGATGCATCACCACCATCTGATTGGTCGCAGAGCACAGACACGCTGGTGATCTGCATCTATGCATGGAATATCTGAAGGAAAAGAGGGCATTTTCTGAATATTCTTCATTAGTAGTATCACACATCGCATGTATTGATGCATTCCCAATAACTCGGACCTTGAAAATTTCCAGCCTCCTGCTTAAAGTACTATAGAACAGCTGAAAGGAACTGATTTGCATTGCAAATTTGCTCAAGTGAACGCTAATTCTGCTAGCACTTGATGCTAACATAACATGGCAATTCTCACAGATGTGCTAGTGGAAATTAGCACACAGTAAATCATGATATACACCATATGAACAGTAAATTAAATAAGACTCTCTTCGGTTTTACATCACTCTCACTCTCCAGATCTAGCAACGCCTTTACCGATCCGACTCTTCTGCAGTGCAAAAATGAAGCAAGCTGGAACCGTGCTGTAACTAGGTTCTCTTTGCGGTGCGGCTCGATTCCCGAATGCCAGTGGAAAAGCACCATTATTCTTGTCAAAGGCCCTAGTTTCTGTTGGGCTTGCAGTAAGTTCACTGCTAAGAGGAAACACTCACATGCACATGTAAAGATCTGATGGAGTTTCTAAATCTAGACAAAATCAACCAAAATCATGTACTGTGGAAAGTATTCCTGAATCCTTCCAAAAGTTTGTTTCACACATTGCGAAAGTTTAATGAGGAATGTTCTGTGTAGAAGTGACTTCATGGTGTGGGGATTACACATTGTTGTGCAAAGGCTAATTGCCATTTGAGTGCCAAAACAATTGAGAAACTCATTTTAAAATCATTTAATCATCTTCCTAACAGTAGCTCGCTAGTTTTTTCCTAAACAATTGCAATCTCATTTGTATTCCGTTAGTCTTTTGCCAGAGTAGAAGGTCCTGCACCCACTGGTCTGGCTTCACACAGAATAAAAATTCTCCCCCAACATCCTCCGATTTCTCTCTTCCAGGCATGACAGGCATATTTTTGGGGGCATGCAGTGTGCCTGTCTAATATGGCGGCTGTAAACATTACTGCATACAGTTTTCACTTTCAGTTGATGAATGTTTGAAGTTCAGAAAATGTTTGCATAGATATTCTATGTAAATGAACAGAAAGGGTCAGACAGAGCTTGACTGGAGCAGGTCAGGTCAGGTTGGGGAACATGCACAGGTTCAGTGCATCGCCACACCTACCACACAACAAGACCCCCTCCGGATCCCGGCTGGTGAAAACCCCCCCCCCCCCAGGCCGTCACACTGTCCAGTATCACCATCCGGAAATGGTCGTGGGCGTCCCCTTGGCTTGGTCGAGCCATTCGAGTCCTCAGCAATGAGGAACACAGCATCCATCCATCCATTTTCCAACCCGCTTATCCTTCTGGGTCACGGGGGGTCCGGAGCCCATCCCAGAAGCTATGGGCCCAAGGAATGGATGAGCACAGCAGTTTTTCATAAATACGGTGTATGGATTTAGTGTGCTATTTTTTCAGATACAACTCGCATTGTTTGCATGATAAATGGCTACATTGTATTTGTTAATGATATGGAACCTGTTTGTAAGAGGTTACCTCACCCTAAAGTCTGACTTGTGTTCTGTGGTGTTAATAGCACCCTAACCCATGAGGCTCACCTCGCATGAATGTAACATTTAAAATGTGCACAGCAATGTATAACTGCTGTTTAAAAATGGAAATGCACAAAAAATACAGCATATGCAATGTGACGTAAAACCACAGTGAAGAAAAGTATATTTACTGTCTGTTTTACTTGAGCTGTAACTATTTCTGTGTCAAGTTCATAGTTGCACTATATAGTTTTAAATATTCATCTTCTAATTTCACACTAAATAGTAATACCTTGCCCATACCAGATTATAATATGCCTAATAAATATCCTTTGCTGAGCAGAGTTTTCAGCCAGCTTTCAGAAAAGCTCGTCAGTGAGTGACTGGGTGCATGCAGTTATCTGATTGGCTTGAAATTACAAGAGATGAGTAATCAGATGGTAGTTTATTGATTAATGCATTAAGTAATATCAAATCCCCCCTTTCTGGTATTTGAGAACAAAGATAGAGTACTTCATGTATCTGAGCTAAATGAGTATGTGTACCCTAACCCTTCAGTGAAACCTATTGGAGAAATCTGGACTGTGCTATTGGCCAAATTACTGGAGATATGATCGTTAGCCTGATGTTTACAGACTGTTTCACAGGAAAAAAAAAATAGAATTTCAATTTCTCCAGGCAGAAAAAGGCTTCTGTTTGGGACTTTCAAGCATTATCGACTTCTCACTTCAGAACATTAGCACTTACCATCTCGGTGTGGATGCTGGCTTGTATGCCAAGTATATCTCTTGGGGGTCGTTTCACAATCGATCAGTGGCATTTTGTGGTTAGTGAGCATGAGATTTATTTTTGGAAATGGAGTTTTAGCTCCTTGGGTGATCAGATTACCTTCATCATGAAAGATCGGAAGCAAATAGGTTTTGTGTGATGGAGGTGCAGCTGCCTTCCAGTCCTGACTTCTGTCTCCCCCCCTGCCCCACCCCAGGCGCTCGGCGGCAGCCCGCATTCAGGAGCTGTTCCGTAGGAGGAAGGAGAGGCGGGAGATGGAGGAGAGCGAGACGCAGAACATCCGCAGGCCCACAGTCAAGATGGTATACAAGGGCCACCGCAACTCCAGGACAATGGTGTGTACTGCAGCTGAGGACTGTGTAACTCCTCAAGACGCATCATCATGAGTAGTTTGCCCAATACTTCAGACCGTCTCTCCAGTGGTCTTGCACAGCACGGAGCACTTGGACTTGCAGGCGTTGCTTAGCAGGCTTTCCTTCAGGCGTGTTGGAGGGTTGCCTGGCGTGCGTCGGCCTAACAGAAGCACTCGCTTCTCTGCAGATCAAAGAGTCCTGCTTTTGGGGAAACAGCTTTGTGATGAGTGGGTCTGACTGCGGCCACATCTTCATCTGGGACCGGCGTACAGCGGAGCACCTGATGCTGCTGGAGGCCGACAACCATGTGGTCAACTGCCTGCAACCCCACCCCTACGACCCCAGTGATTATCCCACAATGCAATGCGTTACTTTGGTTTCACACAACGTTGGTACATGGCAGTAAAACTTTGTGGTCAGTGGTTCCTCATTCATGTTACTTCCACTCTTTTCCAGTCCTGGCTTCTTCTGGAATAGACTATGATATCAAGATCTGGTCCCCCCTGGAAGAGCTGCCGTCCTTCAACAGGGTTCTTGCCGACGAGGTAAGCAGACTTCGTGGCCTTCCTGCCTTCTGAACACGTTTTGCCTGTTTTGTGTCCATGTACAATTATAAGAACTTCATTCTTCTGGTTGCTCCCTGCTTTGCATCCCCCAAGTAGGAGGTATCTGACGTGGTACCTGTCCTGCTGCTCATGAACCAAACCACTCTAAAGCCTGTTCTCTGGTAGTAGCACATCGTATGAATGCATCAAGCCAACCTTCCCTTGATGGTAGTGAGTCTGAATGCAAAATGTTATGTCACTTGAGTCAACACCTGGATCTCCTCACAGGTGATAGCACGCAATGAGCTGATGCTGGAGGAGACCAGGAACACCATCACAGTCCCTGCCTCCTTCATGCTGAGGATGCTAGCTTCACTCAACCACATCAGGACTGGTGAGCATGTTGACAGAGCCAACAGCCAGCATGGTGACACCCAGGGACAGCTGCTTTAGCGTGTTGCATCCCTGATGCGGACACTAAAATCAAGCATTGCGAATGAATACATGTAAAACCTGCTTAAGAAAATAAATAATTTTGTCTAGCAATGTACAGGCTCTGTCCATCTGTGTTTGTGCTTCATCTGTACTAAGCAACTTAGCTAGCATCCGTTTAGAGGAATAGGCTGGCATTGTATTAACCAGGTGCATTTTGCTATAAAGTTTGCTTGGGTTGCCGTTGTTAAAACCAAGTCTTGTTCCTTCAGTGTCCACTGTCCTTTGTCAGAGCTGCCTTCTCTTCTCTCTTCCTCAGACCGAGCTGAGGGCGATCGTTCAGAAGGTTCCGGCCAGGAGAATGAAGATGAGCCATAGTGACTTGTTCTTTTTAAACTTTTGCTACAGAGTACTTGAACATTTTGTTTTGTACCAGCGTGGAATATTTCTGTAACAGAACAGTAGTGCAATTTCCAGTTCCTCCCCTTTTTTAGTACTAACGTTTGTGTAAAGGACAGTGTGAACGGGGTCTACGGGCGCATTGGAACGGGGTCCGGTTCCAGGTTTTAAAGTGGCTGGAGCTTGAACATTTAAAGTGCAATACTTTTCCTCTGCCCCAAAAGCTATTGTTTAACCCTTTGAGGTGTGCTTTCTTCATAGCTGAAGGCTGAAAGACTTTGTATACCTGCATGTAAACTTATGGCCAGAAATCACACTAAGTAAAATCTGTTCACACAGTGCTCCCTGGTGTCAAAGACTGCCACGGAAGACTCCTCTGCCTTGTCAATAAAAGGCACCACTGCACAGCCCGAAGTGGGGTGCCGATTCTGTTTGAGAAAGGTGGATTTTACCCATAACCTTGAACGTTGAATTCAAACTCGAACCAAGGCAACAACCATGATGGAAAAGGTTTAGTTGCACAAATTAAATGCGTACAATTTTCCAATGAACATATAAAAGTTTCCAAAAAACATACAATACCCCACACTACAATATATATATAACAGGAATTAACCACACAATTTAAAAAAAAAAAAAAAAAAGCAAAAAACTGACTAAACACAAACGGCCTCAAGCTGGTCATTGACTATGCCTTCATCGATGCTCTCCAGCCTCAGCCTCTGGCCGTCCAGGTAGCGTGGCGTCCGCATTGCCGTGCGCCCGGGCAGCATGCCTTCCTCCCCAAAGAGCTGCAGCTTGGCATCGCTCTCAATCACCTTTGCCAGGCTGGAGGCGTAGCTGTCCAGGGATTTGTGGATCTCAGCCTTGACTTGGACTGGAGGAGAACCAACATTTGCTAAAGAAAAAAAAATCCCACAAAAAAAGTTAGCAACGGACATAAAAGAACTTCAGCCACAGTTTTCCAGGTGACAGTACTTTAGGATGGTCCTTAGCTAATGGGTCACATTTTAAAATGGCAGTTTTTCATGCATTCACCCTTTTATTTTGGGATGCATTGTGAACAAGTATTCCTGGCAATTTTTTTTTCATAGTTTAGTAATGTTGCTCAAGATCAAAGTCTAACTGTAAATTATCAAAATACTAAATTTCAGCCAAACTTTGCAGGAAACAGAAGGGCTACTGCAACAAAGAATTCGACCTGCAAAAAAAAAAAATTCACAAGAAAAGTGCAGTTTGTCAGCAATCAGCAAACTGACACTGTGGTCAAATATTCAAGCTGGATAAAACCTAGTTTAAGTTTAAGTTTGCACTGTCTGCAAGACTCTCAGGTTATTCATTTGATTGTTAGCAAAGATGTGCTAAGCTTCTGTTTTTTGCAGTGTAACGTCGTGTGCTCTACCGTATTTAACATTTGGTCAATTAAAAAAATGAACCATCATGTAAATATATGAAATGTAAAAAAAAAAAAAGACAATGAAGAATGTTATTTTAATAAGTTCTTACTGCATAATTGCTACCCATTTTTTTCTATTAATGGTATTTTCCATGGCATATTTTTCCATTTAAAAGGAATCGAATGTGGGTGGCACAGTGGCGAGCACTGCCGCCTCGTCTGTGACCTGGGTTTGAATCTCCACCACGCCATGTGGGTGTGGGTGCACATCTGTCACTGTAGGACTGCTTCTGGCAGCTCCAGTTCCCCCCACAGTACAAAAACATGCTGCGGGTAATTGAAGTTATCAAATTGTCCGTAGGGGGGTGTGTGTGTGTGTGTGCGCAATATGATGGGTTGGCGCCCCCTCCTGGCCTATTTCCTGCCTAGGATAAGTGATTACAGAAGATGGATAAACCTTAAACTGTAAGAAAATATAGGAATCAAGAACATAAAATGAGTATAAAGATACTCAAAAAATGAGTGTGAGGCTCAGGTGGCGGTTTGTTGGCTCACAGTATTGTATTATTTTCCCGACTTGCCTATAAATTGAATTTGAAGACAGACATAGGGAAGGGATCTTGTGTACCCTAGGCCTGCCTGCACACCAGACGCAGCAGCAGCAGCCTGTTGAGATAATGGCACACTTACCTCGGGAATGCTGATCCTCAAACGTCACAGAGCTCCTCCTCTTCGCTGTCGAGCTGCCAGTGTGCTGGGCAGGGTGTGAATCCGAGGAGAAGTCATCCAGAAGCAGGACGTCTGTACCTGAGTAGAAGAGCAGCAGATGTTGGACGCCACCGTACCTCAGACAGGGACGCTTCCTGCAACGGCTCTCATCACCTAGGAGTGAAAAGGCAGTGTGCACAGCACCCCTGCACGCCCATCTCCGGGGCCGAGTGAATGGCGGAGGAGGCGACATCTAACTAGCAACTCAGAAAAAAACCAGGTGAACAACAGCTCTGCCTTCAGGGAGGGCGTCTTGCAGCCCCGGGCAAGCTGGGGCAGAAAGATTACGAAACGCAGGGTGGAGGAGGAGTGACGAACGTGCCCCACCCCCCAGTGTGCTTAGCTCACCTGAGTCTTGGGAGAAGCTGAAGCCGGTGTCCCCTGTACTGCTGCCGTGTCCCAGGAGCTGACCCCCTCCCGCGAGTATAGCCGTTAGGTGTGGAGACATCCCCAGATCTATAAGGAGACGCAGTCACTCAGCCAGCCCTGTATGACCACATGCATACCATCTGCAGCCATGCGTGACAGGAAGTGATGCAACGGACCTGAGTCACTGCTTTAAAACAAAAACACTTACCTGATCTTCACATAGGAGATAGAATCAAAGTCAGCTGGATTCTCAAGGTAAAGTGTTCAGCTGACAGCACAGTGAAGTCGTGAGTGCCTGGTTCACGCTACAGTTAATACCAGGAGGCCTGACAGCACAGTGAAGTCGTGAGTGCCTGGTTCACGCTACAGTTAATACCAGGAGGCCTGACAGCACAGTGAAGTCGTGAGTGCCTGGTTCACGCTACAGTTAATACCAGGAGGCCTGACAGCACAGTGAAGTCGTGAGTGCCTGGTTCACGCTACAGTTAATACCAGGAGGCCTGACAGCACAGTGAAGTCGTGAGTGCCTGGTTCACGCTACAGTTAATACCAGGAGGCCTGACAGCACAGTGAAGTCGTGAGTGCCTGGTTCACGCTACAGTTAATACCAGGAGGCCTGACAGACAGTGCCTGGCAACACTGTTTCACAATCCGTATCTCAGATTAGGTCGAGTAGAACAGTACTGATTTTGTGCCTAAATAGAAGCTTTCCTCTGACATGGACAACATGCCCAAATGGGGAGTTCTCACATTCCTAACACACAAGGAGAAATATTTCCAAATGTCCCCAGTCAAAGTCACTCTACTGTCCATAGCTGAGACTGTCACTGGTTATGAAGGTTACGCAATTCATATGGGCATAGAAGCAGGAGGCAGTATGTGACTCTGTGCCAGTGATCAAAAGCCAAAACGCTGAGCCTGGCCCCATGCTGTGTGTGTGTGTGTGTGTGTGTGTTTCTCAAAGGTAAACAAAATGGTACATCCAATATACCTGTACTCATGCAGAGGGCAAATTAAAGCATCATTTCATTCACACATCTCCGCAACTGCAAATTCTCAACAGACATCTTATTTAACGAACAGTGATTGGGGGTGGCTGCTGATCTTTGCAAAGGGATGGTAGTTAGATGATCAGTAAGCCTGACTGAACTTGCTAAGGAAAACAGCTCACTTTACAAAATGCTTATCGCCGAGCACGACCAGGACAACAGTCCCTCTGTACAAGGTGAAGAGGGAGAGCTCATACCCCACCTATTCTCCACCCATCCTCCAGACGTGCCCAGCACTCACCGGTGATGCGGTTGGAGATGCTGAAGAGACGCGCAGTCCTGTGGCGCGTGACGAACGGCTCCCTGTAGTAGCGGTCGCCGAAGCACATTCCCAGAAGCTCCTTACGCACAGTCTTGTTCCACAGGCCATATATGAGCGGGTGGCAGGCCACACTAGCAAATGACAGCCATGTGACCAGAGTCTCCAGGCTTGGGGAGACACTTCCCTCGCCCCAGAGGGCCTCTGTGCAGATGGCCACCACATAGGGCCCCCAAGTCACTAGAAAAGTTCCGAGCACGACCAAGATAGTGACGAAGGCCTTGCATTGGTTGCCAGCATATATCAGGCTCCGACGGCTGCCACTGGAGGAGGTTGACGCGTTGGAGTTCTTGCGGCCATTCCTGGATGCCGACTCCTCCTGGGCCACCACCACAGTGCCGCAGTGGACTTTGCGCGCCTTGATGCGGGCCACCCGGAAGATGACGCCATAGCAGGCCAACATGGCCAGGAAGGGCAGCAGGCAGCACCAGGCGGCCCAGAAGGCCGTGTAGGAGGCCCCGTGGTGCCACGCTGCCGTACATGTCCACTTGAAGCGGTCAAACTCGAAGGAGGACCAGCCGAAGAGCGGCGGAAGGCAGCCTACCAATGAGTGGAGCCACACGTAGACGATGGCCACGGCCGCGCGGTTGCCCGTGATCTTCATGGGGTATATCATGGGATAGAGCACAGCATAGTACCTGGAAGGACACAGAGAGAGACTTTCTGAGCCCAGGGCCTCAATGGCAAGATGGATTTACCGCCATACCATCCATCTACAGGTAGAAACTGGTAAGATATAATGATCATCACAGAGAACGACGCAGCAGACAGCAAGTCTCAAAGTCATAAAGTAGCTCTGTATGTAACAATGAAACCAATGAAGTCAACAACAACAAAATCAAGTGAACAGCAATGAAGTTTAACCTTGTGTTTGGCAGTAACAAAACCCGATAGATCTCACGACTGGATGAAGACTGGATCTGAGGGCATACATAGTGCTTTGTCACTGTTTGTTCTACAGCACAGATGTGTAAGACATGTCCTTGCAAGCAATTGGTCTTAATCACTGATGTCAGAAAATGGGCACGCCCACAAGCCTCCAGAACATAATGCCCATCTGCACTGGGCAGGACCCCAACCTGTCAATGGCGATGGCTCCCAGGGTGAGCATACTGGCAGAGCTGATCAGCAGGTAGAGAAGGGCGGTGAAGTTGCACCAGACGACGCCAAACAGCCACTCGCGCCGCACCGAGCTGGTCACCACGAATGGCAGCACCAGAATGGACAGCAACAGGTTGGATAGCGTCAGGCTGAACACCAGCTTGTTGCTGGGAGTCAGCAGATAGGGCTTCCGGTACAGGGTGACCACCACCAGCAGGTTGCCCAGGCAGGCGAGCAGGGTGATCGCCAGCAGGGAGACGGACTCCAGCACCACCACTCCGCTGGACCCACTCTGCCACCGGTCCTCCTCAGACCCATTCCTACTGCTGTTCATTCCGAGGGACTGCCCCACTGGAGCCAGACAGGCATGCTGGGATACTGCAAGGGGGACAGAGGCACCAGCGGGGACCTTCAGACCTTTAAACTGGCGGCCTTTCATCAGCCTCACGTTCATTTCCCTCATACATCACCAGGCTACACTTTGACAGCCCAGTCAACATTGGGCTTCATGGCCCTGTGGGACAGGTAGGAAAATGTCTACACTCCCTTAATTACTGGAGTGAAACTGGTTTAAAATAGTTTCCACAATAACATCTAATATACTACACGTTAACACGCTTCCAAAATTACCGCCATAAACACTGAAACAACCTGAATACAATTTTTCTGATTAATGTTTTAAAAGCATTGTATCAAAAATTAAGCTTGTATAACTCCGTCTTTAAGCAATGAATTTCTGGGGAAAAGTAATATCTTTTTAAAAACAATGTGATTATTGAATTAGTTTTATTATATCTAAGACAACCAAACAGACGCAGTGTCACTGAAACACATTCTCGTACTTTCCCTAAACTGGCTGAGTTGGGAGGCCGATCGCACATTTCTTTGGCATTGCTGAGCTTCCCACCTAATGGCTCAGGATTTCCTCTAGTCTCGCCAATCGTTTCCTTTACGGCCCAAACAAACTTAAGTTTTCTTTCTAGCATTCTAAATATTGCGCATTAATTTACGTTTACTACACACATACACCAACTCCTAAAATGGTTTACTACTATGGTTTGTTTGAGGGGGAAAAGTACAAATGTCTTGTCCTCGCTCCTTTAAGATCTAAATCTTTCGTGAGATAAATAAGCGGTTCATCTACATGCATTGTAACTAATGAATTGCCAAGGCCCCTTTTTAAGTGACCCTGGCCTCGTTAATCTGGCTCGTACAGCCTGAAATGCACGTTCACTCATATTTTTCCGCACTCGAAAAAGCAAAATCTAAGTTTGATGCATCGAGAGCGTTTGCGCCCGACCTACCCGGACGATGCTATACCCCGCGGTACCGACTTACAACTTTCTCTTTGTCCGCACAATGGCCATCCGGTACGTCCCTCTCCGCCTGCTTACCTCGTACGCGCTAATTCCAACCCTCATGTCTCCATTCCATCCGACAAGCTGGCCGCAGATATCGGTCCGATCCGCTGCACGACTTGGAAACTTTTTCCTCTTCGCCTTGACTGGCAGATCCGAACGGAGAGACGGAGCTGCTGGCTACAATGGCGCCCAGCACTCACGGCTCCTTCTCCCTCTCGGTTCCCCACCCCAGCTGGCGAGTCCCCCCTCGTCGGAAGAAAACGGTTCGTGGGTGGTCTGGGGCGGCCGTAGCCCTTCGCTCTAGAGTTCGGAGAAGACCGTCGTGCCTCCCCCCCCGAAAAAAGGACAAAGTCGAACTGAATAAATACATGCACAGCAGAAAACGCATGATTTTATTTTAGACGCTGAGATTGTACATTTCAGCAAATTTTACTTTATTGTTTTATTTAGTGGGCATTACAGCAATGTTCAAGGGATAAAATAACGCTCAGGATTGCTTTATTTTAGTGTTTGAAGGACATAGTACGAATAGTACGAGTTTTGCACACTCATGCTAATTCAGAGGAATCTTTAAACATAAATAAATATATTAGATCCCGCTTTTGGATGACCGGACCACCAAGGCAGATCAAACATTCCCGCAGTGGCGCTTGCCCGCGTCACGTGTCAGCACAGAGCCAATCACAGGGCGCCAAGGAGGAGCTCCTTCTGTCTCCGATCAAGTACATTTTCGTGTCTCCCGGCCCCGGCTGTTCAATAAGTTTCATCTGGATCCGAATGCTCCTGATTTGGAAATCCCATGTTTTGTTCTCCAGGATCAGGTAGTCCATCTTACTGTTGTGCCGGTTAACAAAAACAACACTGGTTTGCATCACCGTGATCCAGATATATATTTTTTTAAGATTTCCAAATCCGGATTACCGTTATTCTGAATGGGGCTACATACCACAATGTAGGCTACTAGCTATGTAAAGGGCAGTGGTGTAAAGTACTTGAGTAAATGGACTTCGTTACTGTACTTAAGTATTTTTTTGGCTACTTTGTACTTGTACTGAGTATCAAAAATATAAGCAACTTTTACTCTCTACTCCACTACATTTGTGACTGAATATATGTACTCTTTACTCCACTACATTTGAACG